GAACCCTGATCGCCTGGATCCTAGGTTGACGCTCAACCGCTGAGCCACGCCCGGCCGGGCGTGGACTTTCTTCTGTGTCAATACATGTAGATCTCTGTGGTTAATAGAGACCTACCCATTTTACACAGAAGGAGACTGAGGCTTGGAGAGGTTTGGTGACCCATACAAGCACACATAGCTAGGAAGCAGTGCCTGCCTCCAAATCCCGCGTTCTTTCTTGGCCACCACAGAACCCAAGTGTTTCTCAAGCAACCATAGAGCTATTAGGGGATCTTTTGTTGCTTAAAATCACTTTAGCAATTTTATAGGAAAAGTATAGAATGCAGAGACAAAGACGCCGCAAGGTCCAGTAACTTGGCCGAGGCCTCACAGCAGCCTTTCCCATTTGCCATAATCACATGTATACATACATGCTCTGGCGTGACTGTCGCATGCATGTGCCATTGTTGCTGCTGACGCCGTGTTCCATCTGGTTAAGTTGCCATGGTTGGTCCAGCCCTCCTCTGGCTGATGGGCATTCCCTTCTTCCCACCCTCTTATCAGAGTGAAGGTTGGACCGTAGGTGCTTGTAAAGCTGTCTCTGAGCTTCCCCACCCATACGTCACTTCCAACCAGAAAGTCGGCTTTATTTTTGGAGTAGAAGGTAAAAAGGAAAAGAAAAGAGGCCCCTTAGCTTTCTCCCCACTTCCCTTCCTTTTGTGTCTAGTCTCAAAGAGGCTAACCCTGCTCTGATGCAGGACCAAGGAGTTACGCACGTTGGTAAAGGTACAGCCAGAGAGTGCCTGGGGAGTGTCACGACCTTTGTCACCCTGTTGCATTATGAGGCTGGAAGCAATGTTAATGGAATGATTTCGATGTCTTGCAGAAGATGGGAAGCGTCCTGAGTGGACATTTTACCCGAGGTTTAGCAGCAATATCCACACCTACCACGTTGGAAAGCAGTGCTTCTTTAAGGGGGTCTTCCTCGGCAATAGGAGGTCTCAATCAGAGAGGACGGTGGACAAGTGCCTTGGGAGGAAGAAATACGGTAATGTTTTCCTCCGGGACCTTCACTGTGCAATGCCTGAAATTACCCTTGAGTCATGATTCTGCAGGCCCAGCATTCCGTGGCTGCGGCAGCCCTGCGAGGTCACTGTGTCAGCCTAGCGCAGCCAGGAAGATAGGGAAGTGAAGGCGACGGTTGGCAGGCTGCACTTTTTGGCAAAGAACTCACAGCATATGCTGAGCCACATTTCTGCTTTACTCCGAATCTCATGAAATGCTAATGTGACATTTAAGTCATCAGATAAGTTGTCTCAGATACTTATTAATAGAAACCTTCATTGAAGTTTGAAGAAAATCATTTATGTTTCAGTTATATGCTACCTGTCATATACATTTAAATTGTACNGAAGTTTGAAGAAAATCATTTATGTTTCAGTTATATGCTACCTGTCATATGCATTTAAATTGTACTATCTATCTATCTATCTATCTATCTATCTATCTATCTATCTATCTATCTATCTATCTATCATCTATATATCTATCATCATCTATCTATCTACCTACCTACCTGTCCATAATTTATTAAAGACACTAAAGGGTTGCTGATTACTGACAGATCTTTCATGGCATGCTCTTCTACAGAAATACCAGTGTAGGAGGCAGCCACTGCCTCAGGGATGAAGAGAATGGCTGTAGCAGGAATACAAAGAGAAAGAAATAGAAAGTTCCCATTTTTGAGTTTTAAAATAGGCTTTTAAACTCATATCAGCAACAAGTAGTTTTGAAACCGAAGGATTTTGTTTAGATAGAGAGTATGTGAAAAGTCAGACTAGAGGAGGTAGGAGGGTAGTCATTGATATGGGGACTTGGAAGAGCCCGGCTCCTGGGATCAAAATCTAGTGGGTGATTGGATGTGAATCTAGCGGGAGCTCTTGTCTCAGAGTGTGGCTGGGGGATGACCTCGAGCCTCAGAGGGAGGTGGCATCTGCCCTGACTCTGAGCTGGAGAGTAGTGATAGCTGTGGGCAATGGGTGGGCAGAAAACCAGCCTCAGGGTCTCATCCACCCAGGATGTGTGGAAGGATAGCTGCCTTTCTGTGCCCTCTGCAGGCTGTGGAGGTTGGGACAGAGAGGAAAAAATGAGAGAAGGGGAGAGAGCAAGCCGAGAGAACTGCACAGGCCTCACACTGGAATGCTGGGAGGCCATGGTGTAATGATCTGTGGATCGTCAAGCCAGGGTTCTTATGAGAATAAATTTACGCATCACCCGATGCATTGTGGACGGGGCTGGCTTCCTGAGGCTCAGACTGGATGACACATTTTAACAGACAACAGAAATAAATGCCAACTCTCGGAGAGTAGCAAAGATAAGGTGAGCATCAGATACCAGTGTGGTTTGCAGACAGTAACTAAGGCCCCAAAGCCTTCCACTAACGCCCTAATGTTATGTAAGCCTACTGTGCACGCCTCTACTTCCCATTCCCAACTGAGATGCAGCCATAGGATAGAATATGAAGGATTTATTTAACTGATTTGAATCTGAAACAACTGAGAAAAACCAAGAAGGGACCACTTTTAGGTGTATATTACTTAGGAATGCTCTTGGCCGCAAGTAAGGGAAAAACAAATTATCAGAGGCTTAAATCATAAGATATTTATTATATATCTAAAAAAGAAGCTTTGAAATCTAGGCTGCCCAGTAATGTCATCAAAGATGTAGGCTCCTTCTGTCCTATGCACTGTCATTCTTAGTAGCGTTGGATTTAGTCTTATCAAAGAAGCTTATCAGCCTGGCTGGGCGTGGCCCAGAGGTTCAGCATCAACCTAGGATCCAGGAGATTGTGGTTCTATTCCTGGTCAGGGCACATGCTCAGGTTGTGGGCTTGATCCCCAGTCGGGAGTGTGCAGGAGGCAGCCGATCAATGACGAGTCATCATTGATGTTTTTTTCTCTCTCTCTCTTTCCTTTCTTCTCTCTGAAATCAATAAAGATATATATATATATCTATATATCTATATATATATCTATCTAAGCTTATCATTTTATGGTAGCAAGACAACTGTTGCAGTTGCAAGCATCACGTCTATATTTAAGACCAAAAGAAGAGGAAACTCGCTTGTTGCCTTCCCCTTTTAGAAGGAAGGAAAAGTTTTACCATATGGTCTTTAGGAGGCTTTCTTTCACTCATGTCTCACTGACCAGAACTGAGCCAGTGACAATAAAGATAAAAAGTGAACGGGATTATAGTGATGATCCGAATCTAACCCTAAACCATCACTTCCCTCCTACCTCGACATTATCCTAAATTTTGTGATTATTCCTTTTCCTTTCTTCCTTTTATTTTTTAAAAAAAAATAAACACTGTNAAAAAGTGAACGGGATTATAGTGATGATCCGAATCTAACCCTAAACCATCACTTCCCTCCTACCTCGACATTATCCTAAATTTTGTGATTATTCCTTTTCCTTTCTTCCTTTTATTTTTTTTAAAAAAATAAACACTGCCCAGCCGGGCGTGGCTCAGCGGTTGAGCATCAACCTGGGATCCAGGCGATCAGGGTTCGATTCCTGGTCAGGGCACATGCCCGGTTTGCGGGCTAGGCAGCCGATCAATGACTCTCTCATCATTGATGTTTCTATCTCTCTCTCTCCCCCCCTTTCCTCTCTTTGAAATTAATAAAGATATGTTTAAAAAAAATAAAATAAAAAAATAAACACTGAGGTGTATTTATTGACTATATAGAATAAAATTTCACAAACACTTATATGCTTCTCACTCTATTTAAGAAATGGCATATTACCTTTATATTTGAAGCCTCCAATAGGCCTCTCCCTAAATATAACATTTTTCCTCCCCCTACTCCAGTGGTAACCCCTATTCTACCTCCATTAAAAAGTAAATATTTTTATTAAGGACATTTTCAAATATGTGCCAAAGTAGAGAGAAGAGCACAGTGTAACCAGGTGATCCCATCACTCAGCTTCAACAATTATCAACATGTGACTAATCTTGTTTCCTTTTAACCCTTTCCCTCAGGGATTATTTATTTATTTATTAATCCTCACCAGAGGATATTTTTTCCATTGATTTTTCTCAGAGAGAGTAGAGGGAAGGGAGAATGGGATGAGAGAGAGAGAGAAACATCAATGTGAGAGAGACACATTGAGCAGTTGCTCCCCCGCATGGGCCCCTACTGGGACCGGAGATCGAGCCTGCAACCAAAGTATGTGCCCTTGACCGGGAATTGAACCTGGGACCTTTTGGTTCTTGGGTCGATGGTCTAACCACTGAATCAAACTGGCCAGGACCCTCAGGGATTATTTTAAAACAAGTTCCAGACATCATATAACTTCATCTGTAAATATATTCGTACGTACCTCTAATAGATAAGGGGTTATTTTTATTAATATGACCACAGTCCCCTTCTCATGTCTTTAAAAAAAAGCAGTAATTCATTAATATCACCAAATATTTTGTCATTGTTCAAGTATCCAATTGCTTCACAAATGCCACAATTAAAAAATATTTATAGTTTGTTTAAATTAGGGTCTAAATAAGGTTCACACTTACCAATTAGTTAAAAAGTCTCTTAAATCTCTTTTAATATATAAATTCTCTTCCCCCCTTTTTTTCTTGCAATGTATTTGGTGAAGAAACTAGATTATTTGTCCCCAGTCTAGAGTTTGCCACAGTGAGGATTCAGCTGATTACAGTCCTGGATACCATTTAGCAGGTTCTTCTGTCCTGTGTATTTCTTGTGAACAGATAATCTGATGTGTCTTAGTGTGATTACTTCTTTTAGGTGATGCTCTGCTATGACTTCTTTAAACATCAAATGCAGCGGTCTTTTTCCACTTTTCTCTTTCTTGATTTTCTGGAGCACTTGATGTTGTTAAGCTTGACACTGAACACTTATTCCTTTATGAGACTCTCTCCTCCTTCACTTTCTTTTATTTAAAAATTAAAAAAAAATTTCAGTTATAGTTGACATTTAATATTAGTTTCAGGTGTACAACATAGTGATTAGACATTTATGTAACTTATGAAGTGATGCCCCTCATGAGTCTAGGACACACCTGGCACCACACACAGTTATTATAATATTATTGACTGTTCTCTATGCCCTGCACCCTTCTCACCCCACCTCCCAAATGCCCTCCCATCTGGCAGCCATCAATTTGTTTTTTGTATTTAACCCTCATAATTTCTTTTCTTTTTCTTCTTTTTCTTTTTGATCTTTTTTTTTTTTTTTTTAATCCTTACCCCAAGATATTTTTTCCATTGCTTTTGAGAGAGAGAGAGAGAGAGAGAGAGAGAGAGAGAGAGAGAGAGACGTCGATGTGAGAGCGGCACATCGATTGGTTGCCTCCCACACATGCCCCAACCGGGTCTGGAGATCGAGCCTGCAACTGAGGTACATGCCCTTGGTAGGAATTGAACCTGAGACCCTTCAGTCCACTGGC